AATCTGTTGTCATAATTTCTGAAAGTGTAGAAAATGCACAAAAACTACCGTCCCAAAGCCTAAAATTACCTTTGACATCCTGTCCCTGACCCTAGTACCTAAAATTAACCATTTTTTAGAAAATGTAGGAAATTCACGTCAACTACGTGTTCCAAAGCCTAAAATTACCTAATATTTGCTGTAGACATCCTATCCCTGACCCCAGTACCTAAACTTAACCATTTACCCTGATCCCTCATGTTAACCTCAGACCCTCGACCCAAAGACCCCTACTGGCGCAACCTGGAAAAGCCACGGGCGGCAAAGACTGAMGCGAGGGGGTCACCCGACGCGTCAAAATAAGACGCAGAGGGAACTTTGGAAAAGCGTCAAAATGTTGACGAGTCGGGAGTGAGAACGTGTTACCTCAACACGCACACATAAAAAATTTAAAGTTTATAAAGTAAATTTAAAAAAGTTTAAAAAATGAAAATTAAAAATTAAAAAACACTGAACACAGAACCCCTCATCTGCAACAGACAAAATGTCACAGAACAAGTTACATTCCATGAAAGCCCTCAGAGCCTGTGGAAAAAAAACTATTTAAATGAAGAGACATAGTACATTTGACAGAATGGTACCATCTCCCCGAGGGAAGAAGCTCAAACATGTCTTTAGCAGGATGAGTTGGATCATTAATAATAGAAAAAGACTAGACAGAGAGTCTCTGTCTAGCCTTTTTGACAATAATATTGGTGTTAAAGTGCATCTCAAATCTTTTGAAAGAGTCACTCCTAAAAACAACACTATCAGCCCTCTGTACCTCTGTACCATTTAGAACTTAGACACAGCATAGCGGTAACATAACGACCCCCGCATGCAGAAATGCACCGGAACTCAGAAGTCTTTATTCCTAATAAATGTCATGTTACTAGGTGTATCCCAAAATTGTAGTGGTTTGGGTGGGGGGGCATTGGTTGACCTGATGGATAGCCCCTCATCAGAGGTAAACAACCAACGAAAATCTGAAGCTCCTATGTAGGGATGTCCTGATA